CACATGAGAAGATGAACAGTTCAATGAATTTCGGATGTTGTGAATCATATCATCAGGCCCAGAGACAAACATGGAGCTAGAGGTGGCATCTGGATTTGCCACATGGTCTGGTTTCTATGTCTGTATCTCTGTTGTGAGGTCTGTAATTCTCTGTTGAGTATTTTTTTTATATATTGAGCAGCTGTCTGTAAACTAGTAGAGCAGGGGTAGGCAACCTTTCCCCTTTAAGGGCCAAGGGACTTCAGCTCCCAGAATCCCAGGAGCTATTGGCCAACATTGGACTATTGGCCAACATGGCTGAGGCTTCTGGGAGCTGAAGTCCCTCGGCCCTTAAAGGGGAAAGGTTGCCTACCCCTGTAGTAGAGAATGGCTTATCTCCCATTTAAAGGATACCAAGAATCACCTTAAGCAGAATTGTTATTATCTAGGATGGATTGTAGACCTGTGATAATACTTTTCAATGCTTTTAGCAGAAAATATAAGTGACACTATAAGTGACAACTAGTAATGTTTTGTTATGATCAGTTCTTGGTTTCTCTTGTATAGGATTGTTTCTCAGAGTCCCTGCCCATAAGTCTTAGCAGACTCAGATGTATTGTAGGGTTTGTCTGTAGACAATAAATTGTGTAACATGTTGTTGGTGGAGGCTGATATATGTAAGTGTAATACTGTATCTTTGGGGGGATACATTCCTGGACTTACCATGACAACACAGATAATACCTAACTCTATTGAAATGAATGACTTTCAGTGGAAGTTGATCATAGAGTCATGCTGGAGGACCTAGAGATTCCTGGAGAGAACACTTCTCTAGGTATTTCTAGGTCTTCCACCATGATCATATGGTCAACTTCTGCTGGGGGCATACTATAGAATTGCACTGGAGGGTCTAGAATGCCTAGAGAGAACAGCTTTTTTTTTCAGCCATGCATAAGTGAAACCCTGGGTGCTAGTCCCACAGATACAAGGGGTTATACTGTATGTCCAGCTACCTGTCAGTTTCCAACGTAGGGTAAAGCTTATTTGTCTATTATGTAGGTGTATAGTGGTCTCAGTTTAAGGATTTATATCAGGGACATTTCAGACTATAATCTTCACCAAATGAATGGATTATAAAAAACAGATCATCGAAGTAAAACAGGTACTCAAGAACAGTCTTTTACTGTGTAAACTATAGGCTGAAACCTCTTGACTATAAAAAGGTGAAGGAAATTGTCATGGCTTATCCCCCATTTAAAGGATACCAAGCTAATTTAGAATGTTTACAACCCTTCAGTGTAGGGTATTACCAGAAATAAGCCCTAATAGAATTTACTATTGCTGTGTTCAGATTTGAAAGAGAGGGATGATTGCTTTATGTTCAAGCGGCAAAATTAAACCGCAGCCCCAAAACACTCCATGTACTCTGTGAAAATGTTTTTTTCTCCCCTTGTCCTTGGATTAAATGCAAAATTCATCAGCAGTTTCATATTCTGGTTTGAAGTTTGTGACTTTGAAATATGGAGTTGGGCTGCCATTGCACAATAGACTATAATGTGATGTCATCTGAGAGATTGTTCTGTGACTGGTTCAGTATAAGTAGGAAGCCAAATCCAATCTGTAAAATAAGAGGGTGATTTACTCTTATTTGACACAGGGGAAATCCTGGTCACAACTTTTTGACTTTATTTATTGTAAGAGCTCAAATCAGTTTCTGATATGCATGTAACATGAAGGTATCGGCTGATCTATGTGTTTGTGGGGTCAGCCAAACCTTCCATAAATCAAATTTTCTTTTAAGTCTTCTGGAATGCAATGTACATAGTAGAAAATGCTTCTGGTTTTTTAAAATTGGAACTTCAGACAGGAGAATTTATACAGGAATGCAGTGGTGCCATCCCAGCAACAGTCAAGGGACTTGTTCAGAAGAATAACCAACAAGGGCCCTCAACTCAGGTTTCATTCACACTAGGAAATAGCCAGGTGTGGAAACCAGGTTATTTCCATGTTTGAATCTCTCTAGTGGCATTGATCTGCCATGATTGAATCTCTCCATGGCATTTTATCCTGATTCACGTTCACACTCAGGA